GGTGGCCCTTCTCTGGACCCTCTCAAGCTTTAGTATGTCCTTGTTGAAGTGTGGCGCCCAGAATTGGATGCAGTGCTCCAGCTGTGGCCACACCAATGTTGAGTAAAGCAGGAGAATCGCTTCTTTGGATTTACAGGAGATGCATCGATTGATGCATGCCGGAGTTTTATTTTTCTTATTGTCACTTTAAAGTACGGACACTCCTCACTTAATGTTTTCCCAGTTAACGTTGTTTTGTTATTATGTTGCTGACCTATTAGAGAATATGCTCATTTAAAGTTGTGCAGTATTTGATTGTAATGTTGTTTGGCCCCCACCTGCTAGTAGGTAACTACTGTGACATAACTGGATTCACTTAACGTGGTTTTGCTTAAAGTCACATTTTTCAAGAACGTAACTACAACTTCAAGTGAGTAGCTGTACTACCAATTCTTCCAGACTCCTTTTCCACTTAGACCTGCCTCCCATCAGATACTGCCCTCCAGTACTCTGAGTTTTAAAAGTCCACTTTTCTGAAACTCAGTGTTTAACAAATGGGTATGGGTGGTAGGAGAGGGTAGGGATTCAATGGCAGTGCAGGGATTGGGTGGTGGCAGGACTTGGGGGATAAGGAAGCGGAGTTGTCCCCTCCACATTATGCTCTCCCATGCTGTATACTAGGATCTAGAAAGATGCTGCCCCACTGGGAAGAGTGGTATGAAAGTCCCATGTTTTAGCCCATATTAGGTGGGACCAAGAAGTCCTGAAGTACTGAAAACAAAAAAATACTACGTTACAGTATCTGCCACCCCTGAATGGGGAGTGGGTGGGTCAAAAGATTGCCTGCTGGGACCGAGCAAAACCAGGGATGGGGCCTGGGAGGTGCTTGTAGGTGGGGAGCAGGGGAACAAAACAGGCCATGGTTTGGTGCATGGCTCCAGCTACATAAAAGAAGCATTCAACTGTCCAGTGAGCTGCTGTCTGCAATGTATGTCAGACAGCAAGGGCCACCTGTGACTTTTCTCACTTGTTCTGTGAGCTGCTACACCTAACGTGTCAATGCATGATAGTTATACCCACTGCATTGTCTCAATCAGTACAAGACACGAACAGAACTTGGAAATTGCATGGACCATATATGTTCAAGTGACAGAACTCTCAATTGGCTCTTAAGAAACCTGGGGTTTTGTGTCTGGCTCTGCCATTGGCCTGTTGGGTGACCTCAAATGTGTCAGTTCATTTCTGAGTATTGATTTACTCGTCTGTTAAGATTTACTGGGGAATAGTGAGGTAGGATGTTTTTACAACCTCTCGACAGTGACAAGTTGGCTACACACCTGCTGCTACCTAAAGGGTCACAAGCTCCTATATGACATGCACTTTTTTTTCCTGTTTAAAAAAAATAGGAAATCTACCATCAAAGAGAGCAGCTGCCTTGTGTCTTTCCCATTGTGTTCATTGAGGCTCAAACCTTTGACAACCAGGCAATGAACTGTTGGTTTTCAGCAGTTTGTGTGTCAGTAAACTTGACATTTGAAAGCCATGGAACATCCCAGGGCAGGTTTATCTCTCTGTTAACAAAGTTCACAATCAGCTCTATCTTCAGTGTGCATGTTGTGGTTTTTTTAGAGCCCATGTGAACTAAATTCGCCTAACAATACTTCCATCTTCGGCAGGTGTGAGGCCTTGCCTGGAGTCTTATGTCCAGTTTGGGGCCCCATACTTCAAGGAAGATGTGGACAGATTGGAAAAAGTATAGTGGAGAGCAACAACAATGATAAGGGGCCTGGGAAGCTTGACTTGTGAGACTGAAAGAACTAAGGTTGTTTAGTCTTGAGAATTGATAACCATCTTCAAATATCCGAAGGGTGGTTTGTGAAGAGAATGAAGATAGATTTTCCTCTGTGGCTGTAGGAGACAGGATAAGAAGCAATGACCTCAAGCTTCAGCAGAGGAAATTTAGGTTGGAGATTAGGAGGAACTTTATGAGTGTGAGGTTGGGCAAACATTGGAACAGGCTACCTAGAGAAGCTGTGTAATCTCCATTCCTGAAAATTTTGAAGAGCTGGTTAGATAAGACACTTAGCTGGGATGGTTTAGTTAGGGGTGATCCAGCCTTGACTGGGGGCTGGTCTAGATGACCTTGTGAGATCCCTTCCAGCCCTCTTTTCTTAGGATCCCATGTTTTTTTCCTTTATGGGGGAAAAAACATAAATGCAACCTGTCTTTTTTTTTTTGTCCTATCCCACACTTGCATTACTGTATAGTGGTAGGGGTTTCATTTGGATTGAGCCTTTGATATCATCAGAGGAAGTGGAAGGATTGATGTCTTCAGGGGTCTG